GGAACGGTATCTTGTTCCACAATATTTCGTACTAGTTCTAGTACTAGTTCTTCGACATCTGTCGACTTGATTTTTCTAACATGTGCTCCATAAATACATAAAGCAATAATTTTATTCCTTACAGAAGAAAAAGCGGAGACTTCGTCGGGAAAATGATGATGGAGCTGAAGTAGGCTCAAAACGGTCCCGAAAAGACGATCATGGTCGTGAAGAAATAGCTAAGCAGATTTTCGAAGGAACGGAAGATGATGTAGACGACAATTCTGCCGTTGCAGCACCATCCTTTGCTGCGAAGAGCGATGATGAGGGCGAGGAGTCGGACGGTAAATATTTATTTATCTGTGATCACTGTCAGATATGGGTGATTTCATTGTTGATGACAATGCTGCCGCCGCCGCCGGTGGCCGACAAAAGCGACACGTGATTCACAAGGATCCGGCCCTCCAGCAGGCTCAAGACATTTTTGGAGTTGACTTTGATTTCGAGGAGTTTGAACAGTATGATCAAGAGCGACTTAGTGACGTGAGCAGCGCGTCAGAAGATTATGATTATGATGAGGACGATGACACTTCGGTTGCCCGTGCGGGCAAACGAAAGCGCGCTGCAAAAGCTGCATCACACGACAAAGTCTATGAACTCTTTGATCCATCCGACCTGGCCCGTGCATTCTATAGCCCACAAGACGAAAAAATACGTTGCACAGATCTGCCTGAGCGTTGTCAGCTTCGGGCAGTTGCTATTCGCCGTTTAGATCCACAGTCGACTACTTACGAAACTGACCTTATTGAGGTTGAAAAAGAAGCAGAATGGATTTACAACGTCGCCTTTCGGGAAGGGCCGTCAAAGAAGGTATGTTCCTATTCTATTTTAAGCCCTTCTTTCTAGTCCCCTGCCGTCTCGGATAAAATTTTTCAAGTGCTCAAGTTGTTAAAAGAATCCCTGTCGGAGGTGCCCTTCATTACCTTCTACAGAAAAGAATATATTGAAAAAGACCTAAATATCAACGATCTTTGGCGAATTTATGAGTATGATGAAAAGTGGGAGATTTTACAACAACGTCGGAAAAGTCTTATCCGTCAGCTTGAAAAGATGCACAACTATTTTGAATCAATTCCGGTCGATAGCCCAAACAGTGCCGACAAAAAGCACGCAGCATCTCTGATAAACCTGATTGCACTGTAAGAACTTCTTTAGTACCATAATGTTTCCTTCTTAAGTGCTCAAAACGCTATCTCACTGGAGGAAGTGCATGACGTGAGGTTGAATTATCTCCTTCATTATGCTGCTCACGCAGACATTA